GACCCTGAATGCTATACTACCATACTACAACACTGATGTAAAAGGGGACACACTGTACATGACCAACACCTCTCTTGATTAGATTTAAGGTCTGTTGCATACAAAGGAATCTATGCTTGGTATTGTAAACATGGTTAAAAAATCCATGGTTAGGGAATCCATTGGCCCTACAGTAGGAGAAGAAAACTGTTGTTTTCTTAAATAGCCATGTTGTTAAATTGTGTTCTGCATACTGTTTTAAGGTTAAAAATAGCAGTTTTCCTGTATATATAGCATATTTGTCTCTGCCATGTGTGTGCATGTTTGTGTGTTCACACATGTACACATGTACCTGTGCATGCATATGTGTATATGTAGGCAGGGTCAAACTTGAATATTGCTCCTTGGGGGTAATACTCAAGGGTTTTTTGTTTGTTTTGTTTTTGTTTGTTTGCTTTTGTCTTTTATGAGACTGGGTCTTTCACTAAGACCTGGAGCTTGCTGACTGGTCTAGGGTGACTCATTAGCAAGTTCCAGAGATCTTCCTGTCTTTGACCTCACACCCACCCCCCAACATTGGGATCACAAATGTGTGCAAACATGGGTGTTGGGGAGAAACCTCAGGCCTTCATGCATATTTGGCAAGCACTTTATCAACGGAGCTATCTCTCCAACCCTCTAAATTCTTTTGTGTTATATATGATAAAGGACTCAAGACTAAAATATCCAGTTTACCAATTGTTTTTAAATTAGGCATAAATTTATAATTGAGGGAAATACAGTAAATTCGTTTCAACCAATATATATATATATATATATATATATATTTGTTTTTCTCACTTCTAATTTTTTTCCTTATAAATCTGTTCTGACTTCACAAATGCTATATGTTCACTCATCCCTCTGAGGATAACAGATATGCTTCTGAGATATTCTGTATTCATTCATTCTGATAGTTCATCTATTCAACTTTTAGTTCTTTAGATGAATGCTTTTATTTAAAGTTGATTTTTTTAAAAAAAATATTGTGGATTATTTGTTGAAACTATTATCTATACTTGAGTTGTCAGTGTAAAAATTCCAGTTTCCTATTAGGTTAGGCACCATGGGTGAGGACAGTCACAGACATGCACTGATCTGAAGCTCATTTCCAGAAGTCCACATTTGCTTCCTGGAGGCAGGGTCCTGGATTTGAAGTCGCTCAGCAGTCCCTATGATTCTGACTCAGAGCTACACCCTACCCCAGGACCCATACCCGGAGCCAAGCCTAGATGCCACATAGGATGTGTCTTATTCAATGTGTATTTTGAACTGTAGTTTTCCCCCTTCCTCCACGTCTCACATCCAGGCTCATGCTCATTCCTACAGCCTCTGTACCCACAAATCTTTCATAATTTCTGGCCTACTTAGAGAGATAGCTTACAGTTTCCTCATTCAATAGAGGTTTGCTTGATCATTTTCTGTAATTTTCAAGGACTTGGAACAAAGATTTGGGGCAGGTGGTGAAGACAGGACCATGCTATATTGATTAAAACTTTTAATACTCATTAATCTGCAGATTTCCACTTTGTCATGGGCATACTGTCATGGATAATAATAAAATATTGTCAAAAGGTATTTAAATAATACAAACATATAAAGGCACCAGGCACATATATAAATTCCATTTCGCAGCAACATGTTATTCTCTCTAGCCTTTTCTCACCTAGCCTTAGCTAGGAGAGACACTATAAGCTGCTAAATAAATGATGTGTGTGTAGGTTAAGCTGAAGTTCAGAAAGGCTCACATAAATTATCAATGTATCTATTAAAGCATCCCCCTCCATGAAGTAACAGATGTGTCTTCTTTAGGAAAAAAAAACCAATACCCCTCCAAGAAAAAAACCTTTAACATTCTATTTTTTAAAAAAAGCCCATCAGCATTGGATAGCCCAGTTCTGTGCAAGGTTCACATACTCATGTTGTACAAGGCACATATTCCCTGGGACAGACCAGTGATGGGCAAGGCTCACATGTTCATGATATGCACACTCATGCACTCATGTTGTAGAAAGCACACATGCCCTGGGACAGACCAGTGATGGGCAAGATTCACATGCCCGGAGACAGCCCAGTGATGGGCAAGGTTCACATGCCCACATCCTTACGATGTGAGATTAAATGCTTTGATTCTAGTTGGAAAACACAGGCAGTTGGGGAAATAGTTTCTGAAAACATTGACTTGCATTTTCTTTCCACCCTGGCCATTCACACAAAGTGGTTTGAACATATTATTAGGGCAGCATGCTCTTTAATTTTTATGGAAGAAAAACAGATGAAAGGCATGAATATGTATCTGTTAAATATTTAATTATAATTTTTTCCTAAAGTTTCAGAATACAACCAATTCAATCACTCTGGAATATATGGAAGATTTACTAGCTACCTATAACCCCTAGCACGGGAGCTTCTAATGGTAAATTGTTTCTGGATAGTTGTGGTTGAAAGGAAGACTGAGATCAACATGCTAAACACTTAGCAGAGAAGGGTGTATCAAGTGTTCATTTATAACCCAATGCTTTTCTTTGTCGCTTCTCATGCTCCATATAAAATGCTCCATATGACGGTTTGACTTTGTGAAAAGATTTTTTTCCTGAAGCTCTAATAAAAATACATTTATCAGTATTCTTTACTAGACCAATAAAAACAGCATCTGGCACTTCATTAAACCATCATTTTCAGCGTCAACACAGCAAAGCTGGGTCCTCGTCTCATGATTCTTTTACACCGTATAACCCAACCCAACAGTAAGTGGCTTCTTTTGTTTGTTTTTGGTTTTATTTTGGTTTTAGCCAAAAATTCTCTTACAACATTAGTATTTCATGTCTGATCTATAACCAGGACACACATATATATTTATGTTTATATATTTATACATATAAATCTATACTTACATTACTTAGATTATATATAAACATATAGAAATTTATCACATAAATCTATATTATATAATATTATATGAAAATATATAAATGTATTATACAACTAAATATGTATTACATTTTCTAAAGCAGGTTGGTTTCTTTAAATGTCAAGTCAATTTCTGTTCTATTTTTCCCTTTATTCTGTTGCTATGATAAAAATATCCTGACAAAAAGCAACTTAGGGAAGAAAAGGTTTACCTGGCTTATAATTCTAGGGTACAGACCACCATTCAGGGGAAGTTAAGGCAGAAACTCAAGCAGCTAGCCATACTACATAACAGTCAAGAACAAGGACAAATAAATGCATGCGTGCCTCATCTACAGCTAGCTTGGTCTGCTCTTATGTTCTGGACCTCTGTCTAGGAATTGTGCTACTTACTATAGGTTACAATTTTCTACATCAATCAAGAATCAAGACAATTCTCTGAAAGACATGCCCATAGGCCAAGCTGCTATAAACATCCAGCTCCTTACATATTTAACTTAAAAGGAAAGTCCTGTTGAGAGCTAGAAAATTTCTAGAATTTCTTTCTGTAAATATTGTTTGCCTCTCTGAATCTGAACTTTTTCCATTTAGAGCTTTTTGCCTTAAGATAGGACCTTCCTACATAGCCCAGGCTGGCTTGGAACTCAGGATCCTTCTTCCTCAGCCTCCTAATCTCTTTAAACTCATAGTCTCTCTCCCACTCTCTGTCTGTGTGCACATGTGTATGATGTGCATGTGTATGGTACATGGGTGTGTGTGTGTGTGTGTGCATGCATGCAAACATGCCTGCATGTGTGTAGAGGTATAAATGTACCATGGTCACATACAGAAGTCAGAGGACAATCTCAGGTGTCAGGCCTCTTGTTCTATCTTATTGGAGACAAAGGCTCTGCTATTTTCCCATTTTACATGTGAGGTGAGCTTCTAGGGCTTTTTCCGTCTTTCTTTCCTATCCCCCCCCTCCCCCAGAAGGTCTGTGACTTGCGATGTACACCTTGTATGGGTGGCTTTTATGTGGTTCTGGGGATCCAAACTCCAGTCCCTCATACTTTCATGATTAACATATTTATCTGCTGAGTTACATCCCCAGACAAATGGGAACTTCTGAAACTACTACTCAACTAGGAAGTGATCATAGGCACTAAGGTCCCAGAAACAAGGCAGACAGAACAAAATGTATAAAAAATACAAATCACCCTTAGTGCTTCAGATTTCCCATTCTCCAACCCCAGTCCCAAATATTTCCTTTATATATCTCCCAAAGATAAATTGTATTCTCCAACTAGCCTTTTATAGATCAAAACCACATTCCAATGAAAATAAGTCTCAGTCCCCAGGAGGAGAAAAAAAATCTTAATATAATAGCGGTGGAAAGATTTTGCAATCTAATATCAAAAAAAGACTGTTCCTAGTAAAATCTAATATAT